GACCTACAGTTTTTGGCGATATTCACGTAAATCCCTAGCTACCACCATGCTCCTTTGTTGAACTTGGGACCCTCGTAAGGCTGCAGACCCAGAAGGTCAGTCTGCTGCCCCGAGGCTTTCCACGCCAACTCCAGACCCAGGGAGGAAGGGATGAGGTGACAGCAGGGGGAAATCTGAGCGTGCCTCTCCGCCTCCCTCTAACCCCAGATAAGCTAGCAACTGAGAAACTAAAAGCCCAGCGTGGTCTGCATGTCAGAGTCTCCCGTCTAAGCCTGATTCGGCTGGACTACATTTGATTGCCATTCAGCCAGGAGGGTCTCCCCGGGCTGGCCCCGGCAGGGATTTACCCTCGGCTGAGGGTCTCTTCCCCAGGCACGGTGTGTGGTGAGGAGGCTGCCGGCTCTGGAAAGGAAAACTCCAAAGTTAATAGTAACACCAGCCAGGGAAGCAGTGTTCCTTACAACAGAGAAACCTTTTCTCTCTGTCCCCCAGGAGGTCATGGAGCGGCTACAAGTGCTTGACCTTAATCAGAAAAAGAGACTTTTGGCATCTTCATTGGAAGTGATTACACCTTGCGCGTTAGCAGGTGGATGGGGATTTCAAAAGGCAAATTCTGGTTTAATGTCAGAGCGCTCAGTTCCAGTTCCAGGGCGAGAGACTGATCTCCTCCGGGCTGGTGTCTGCTGAGTCAATCAAGTTGCTCTGAATTCTCCCTGCTGTCTGTGAGATCACAGTTTCTTGTAAATGTTTTTACTAATCCGTCTGGCAAAATCCTAAGATTTCCTGTGTCTTTCTTCGATGCTCGGAATACTCAGTTCATGACCTATTTGTTAAAAATAATGGAAATTGGAATTTCTCAGGAATGGATGTTTTGTTTAGTGAGTAAAAAACCCATTAGGATTTGTATTATTTCATTTATCTGCTATGACCTTTTCCCGTGATACAGTGTTATGGCTGAATTCTAGAAATGAAATTTCTGAAGGGGGATTTTCATGTTTAGGTTTGAAATTATTTTGATGCCCTTTTGCAGTTGCTCACCTGTACAGCTTCTGCCACTGTAACAAAAATTGCAACCTATTTTTCCTCTTCATTTATTTACATAAGGCATGTAGGTCCATTCTTCATGATTGCATTTAACACCAGAGACAGAAAATTAGCAATATGCAAAGCCTTAGCAACCCAATGGTACAGCATACCTTTTTCCTTGATTTTAGAAACCTTTAATATTGTTGGATGTATTAAAAATCTTCCTTAATATAGGCAAATTATTTAAAATGGTCGAGTTAATAGCACACTAAAAAAAGTTAGTGTGAAATCAATAGGAAAATTTCTATGGGTGAGGATATCCCTCCCTATTTTTTTGATCTCTTGGCTTTTGTGTTGGGTGTCTGTTATGCAACACTTTGACCACGGGCCACATCCACTGTTAATATTCATGCGGAGGGGGAAGGCTGCCAGAGTCAGTCAGTCAGCTGAAGATCGGCTGCAGCGTACCCGGTATAAACAAAGTTACTAGGATGAAAAACTGAGCATGGGAAGCTTGTGATTCTGTTGACCCTTTCAAAAATGCAATATATAGCATACCTTAGAAATCATGAGAAGTAATCACAGGAATGTGTTACAAATCTGGTATTTAAGTTCAGACTATCATTTGGCTGTGTTATGCCGGTTTAGATTGAAGACCCTGGTCATTAATAGCGGACTGTGGTAAAACCTTGGACATTTTTTTACTGACTTTTCAGGGAAATCCTGAAAATGTATCGGAAAATAAATTAGATGTAAATAATTAGAATAAAAAATGTCAGACCTTTTAGCTGGATTGGGCTTGTGACAGAACAGAAAAATGTTTTCATCCTTAGCTGCTATTTCCAATGCCTTTTTTCCCCAAAATACACTTTGAATTGAAACTGAGCATATACATTTTCTGTTAAAAAGTAAGTGTGTCTGGAGAAAATGTGTTTTGATGTTGATTTCCTTGATATTTTGAAATTATGAGAGCATATAAATGCTGTTTTTAATCAGCCGAGACTTTTGTGCATTAAACAATATTTCTGAGTGAGTTAAGTATAAAATGTCCCTGAGGTAAGCTGCTGGAGAAATGAGCTTGGAGCGTCGTCTGGCTTAAGTGGCACAGGGCAGTGCCCGTTGCAGTGTTTGTGGGGTACCCGCTTAAAATAGACTTCACAGAAGTGGACTTGTGAATTCAGTGGGAGGTGTCTAATGTAACCGGGAGGCAATGCGTGGGAGAAGAGCGGGGCTGGCTCCTGTTCCCCCAGAAGAACCAGGACCCCTGGGGACTGCAAAGCGTTCTCTCTTCAGGTGTCAGATACAAAGCACCTCGCAGAGATGAAACGTGTGATGGATGACCATGAGGGACGTAGCTTCAGGTGCTTGAAGTTTCTTGTAGATCATGACTGATTAGGGAGCTTGGATGCTAAACACAAGCACTGCCATCCTTGTTGGGCCAAGCAGGTACTCTTTACGATGCCTAAATTGCGAGCTTCAAATGTCACCCCCAACTCTTAAGCGCATGAAGAATTTTTAAGGCTCTGCATGGGCGCAGCCTGTGGTTAGGCAAGAGGCTTCCTATTCAAACAGACTATGCCATAGTTGTTCACAACAAATATTCTGCACCTTTCTCTGATCTATTAATGGGTTTGAGGCTGACGAACTGCATGTTTGATTTATTGGTGCACTCTCCGTATTTTTACGTTTCTGAGTTGCTGCTTCTCTCTTGCACAGTTCCACAGGTTGCTCTCCCCGTGTTAGTCAGAAAAAGCATACAGACTTTTATCAGCTTAACAGTCAAATGTTAACAGTCATTACAGCACTCGGAGCGTAAAGTATCACAATAATTCATTTTAATAACATGTTTATTAGGTCATAACAACAACTATAAACATAAGTACCATTCAGCTCTTTGCAGATATATGAACTTACTAACATCAAATCTTTACCAGAATCATGTATTCTTACAGGTGTCCCAGACACAACATTATCAAGCAAAAAATTCATAAATAGTAAAAATGTCCTCTGTTTCACATTGCAGCGTTCCTCAAGCATGTATGTACAAGTTTGGAGTATCTTCTCCAAATCTATGTGTCATAAACTTCCTTAGCTGTTTTAACAACCATAGAGATGATTTTTTTTTTGCCTGCAGCAAAGCCTTTTGTCCTTGAGCAATTTACAATTAGTATTGCTCTCAGCAGACATGAAAGTTTGTTTCTGAAATGAAAGTGGTGACGAAACACAATACAATAGTATCTGCTCATAGTTTGCCTACACACTCTGCCCTCATTATAAATCTTTCAGTTATAACACTGTCTCCCAAGAACAATGTATCTCCCTTATATCAGCTCTTTATCTGCACTACCTCTCTTTGAAGATCTTAAAATGGTTGGCTTGCAGCAACGGAGATATTATACTTAGGGTGGAGTGTGTTTACAGTCGGTTCTTTTCCTTTTTAATATTTACACAGTATTTTTTTAAGGTTGCTACAATTTATGAATCATGTACGTTGACATACATTTTCTGAAATGTTCACAGTGCAGTATTTTGTGGCCTAACCAAACTTTGTAAATGTCATTAAAAATAAACTTTTTTTTAATATAAAAATAGAATACTTTATGTGTTTACACCAACAAACCCAGTTCTATCCTATACTAAACAAGCTATACAGTAGTATGCACAGAATTCCACAGGAACAGAAATGACATGTGATGCTTGCCCTAAAGCTATAGTACTCTTCTCTAATGAATGAAAGTTTTGCTATCTCTTTTTAGAACTGTTTCTCTGGTCATAACTTAGAAATAAAAGTAGGTATCATAATTCACTGGGTTGTGTGATCCAAGAAGAGGCTGGGGGGGCCTAAAGCTGTTTCTTCTTTTGATCGGTCTTCTCAGCTCTTTAGGGCTGGCATGAAGAAGTTATCAACATTCCTGCTCTGGCAGTGTCTTTTTAGGTCAGGGCTGGCTGCAACGCCTCCACCCTTTACTCACCTTTGGCGGCAGCTCCACCCAAGGGTAGGTGGCAGAGCTTCAGCTACTTGCCGTGTGACTCACCAGACAGCAGCTCCGTAAGGTTGCCAGCCTGCCTGTCTCCTCTTCCTCTCCAGAATAATGCCGCCCATATTACTACATCCCAGGGATTAGCCTGGCATTTAATATGGATGCCTTCAAGTTTTTATCCTCAGAGAGTGGTTAATTCTTTACTGAAAGAAATGAAGGCTTTGCATTTTTCAGCAAAAGATCTGTCAATACGGGCTGTTTGACTCGAAGGAGTGGTTGAATGTTGGAATAAAGCTGACACGAGGAATGCTATAAGCTAGATGATTTTCCCCTCATTTTATGTACCGTCTGACTATACCAGAGGACTGGCAAGGCTGACATACCTATTTTACTCCACATCGTTTTTAGATGTTGATTTCTGTTAAGACATTTACCATGAGGCTGGCTCTCTTGGCTGCCTATGTTCTAAGAAACCTTGTTGATGTAGTGCAAAAATCCAAAATTTGGACTGTGCGGGAGGAAAATACATTTTAAACTCTTGCAACTCTCATTGTTTGTCTTAGCCTTTTGTGTGAAAACCATTTCTGCACTGCTCATTATCCTAAAGTACATGCAACAGTAATAGTCCTTCCAGCCGTACTGATTGGTATTCTACTTTCTCCTTCGTGGCATTAATGATGAATCTTTGTTCTTGGGTCTGAGCACACATTAATGAGAGCTAGTGGGAACTAGCTCTGGATGGTAGCACACAACGTTTCCATTTGGTAAATTGATGCAGTTGTCCAAATACTTGGAAATTACTGTGATGGTTTATAGAATCCCATAGCCTTAAACAATATGATATCATGTCCTTGTACTAGTGCAACTTGGGCAACAACATAAACATGTGCAACAGTGTTCTCACAAAGACCGGGCAGTAAAAACTAGTGGACAAAATGTTTTGCTTTTTGTTCATACAACTAAGAATGGATTTTCCTCTACTTCAGACACCCGTCATGTGTCAACATCCATGTCTGTGTTGTCTTGTGATGATAAAAGAGAAGGATAGGGAGCAATGCACTTCACGTTGACATAAGTAGCATTGACGTGAACGTAGTGTTCCCCAATAAAAGTGGAGAAGATTGTTGATATTTTTGAAACAAGTTCAGAAAATGCTGGACGCATCTCAGGTTTTGGATGCCAGCACTTAAGCATGACTTCATACCTGCCATTCAAATAAAAGAAGTGATCAATTATGAAATAATGTAAAAAGAAAAAAACCCCAACCCTCTTTCTTCCCACAGTCTTGCTTACTATAATAGAAGAATCAGCAGCACTGGCAGAAGGCTTTGCAAACTATTTACTTACAGTGGGTCAGGGCAGTATTCAGGTTGTAGCAGCCTTCTTCCTTGTAATAAGTAAACAGTTATATCAAAAGAATTTACATCAGGATAAGGTGGTGCCCCTCTTGTCATAAGTTCCCATAACAACACACCAAAGGACCACTAAGAAAACAAAGAAAATAAATAATAAGTTATAGGGTTGGAGGGCTTTACATTCCAGTTTTAGAAGATGGTTTGACAGATTTAAGCATTCAAATGCATGGATTTTCCCTTTGAAAAGTTATTTTACTGCATTCAGCTTTCTTTTAAGTGGGCTAATAAATGCTGTAGGGACTTGAGGAGCCACTTAAATTAGAGCCAGAGAAACTTAACTAAGTAAATGAAAGAAAATGAAAGCCTATAGGCCTGCTACTTAGCTGGTATAAATTGGCAGACCTCCTTTGAGGTTAATGGAGCTCTGCCAATTTACATGAGTTGATGATCTGACTAACCCTGTGTAAATACATACTGAAGAGAATATACATGGTGAAAATTCTATGCATCACAGGCTAATTTGAATCTGGATTGAAAGGAGAGCTAAAATACAAAGTGATCCAGCCAACTAATGACTTCATCTTATAATTTTTTCTTCATAAATGGCCAGGTAATACTTGAGATTGCTGTAGGCAGTCAGTAAGTATTTATAAAGCAAATAAAGTATTTTGGAGAACTATTACATTTTATGAGTTTCAAAGTTAACCTGTTTTGTCAAGCTTTCCAGAGCCCCTCCTATAGCAGGGTTCAGCTCCAATTTGGCTTCTTGGAATGTCCTTAGTCTCCCTTGGAGTGGGATTAAACTCCTAATTCTTCCCTAAGCAGTAACAGATAATCAGGTCAACAACTTGTTGCTTTGTGATTGGGACAAATACATTTTCTGGATGTAGAAACAGTCTCTTATTCTTATGTGAACTAAAGTTAGATTCAAATGGAAGTTTTGGTTTGGAGTTAGTCCATTCATTACATACTAGAGAGATGCCCCAGGCAATGTAAGAGAAATTAATAGGTGATACAAATATGTTTGTACATTACCACATCTGACTTTGTTGTGAACTTCTGAGTTTGTAAACTTTCTAAAGCCATCCATTTCACTGGCAGTTTCGCTCCTGTTTTATTGTGCACACTGTAGTATTCTTTATCATAGACATCTCTAGCAAGACCAAAATCAGCAACCTTGACAGTGAATTTTTCATCCAACCTAGAGAAATGACAAAAAGTATTATCTGCAACTGAGCAGGCAAGATTTACAGTGATGGTGGATTATAATGAGTGACTTGCATTTCTGAGACCGTGACTTTGGAAGGCAGTACTTTATCTTGGATCTATTAACAAATGTAACAGCGAAACAAAAAGTGCAGTGAAGTATATTTGACACCCATTTAACACAGTGAATGAACTCAGGAAATTACTGATACTGTTTTGATAATATAATTTGAATTACAGATCTTTTAAAAAATTGCTCTGTATAAAAAGATTTTTGCTAATAGCCTATACATCCTGATTGAGTGCTACATCATTTCTTCCACAGCTGTTTCTTCTTCTGTATCCTTGGAAACCTCTCATTTTTATTTCCAAGTCAAGGCATCACCTTTCCTATTCACTCTCAGTTTTGATAAGGAAGGACCTATCATTATCTCAGTGAAGGCCCATATATAATAATGTAGTCCTGTAACTAAGGATGTGTTTGGTGTCTGTACTGGGAAAGAATGGTGACATAAGGAAAGTTCTGCTGGGGTTACAGCTCAGCCATACCAGAAGATCTCCCTAGCCTGGCTCCTCCTAAGCTTGTTGTTTGTCCTGATAAGCGGTATCATTGTCAGAAAACAGATAGATAGAGCATGGGCGTTCGCATGCTTAAGCCTATCCTTCATTACATGTGCAGACCTAGCCGCAGCAAACACCTGCTTTTGGGTTTCTTTACAGAATCACACAATCACAGAATGAGTGAGGTTGGAAAGGACCTCTGAAGATCATCTAGTTCACCACCACCTACCCTGCTCAAAGTAGGGTCAGCTACTGCGGGTTGCCCAGGACCATGACCAGTTGGGTTTTGAATATTTGCAAGGATGGAGACTCCACAACCTCTCTGGGCCAGTCATCCTTACAATAAAAGCATTTCTTCTTATGTTTGAATGCAATTTTCTCTATTTCAATTTGTGTGCACTGCCTCTTGGCCTGTCCCTGGGCACCACTTAGAAGAATCTAGCTTCATCTTCTTTATTCCACCATATCAGGTATTTATACACTTGGGTAAGATCCTCCTGAGCCTTCTCAAGGCTAAACAATCCTGTCTCTCTCAGCCTCTACACGTGGCATTTCCCTGTCTTGAATTTATGAGGTTTCTGTCTGGACAACTCTTTGGGCTGTTGAAGTCCCTCTGAATGGCACACAACCATCTGCTGTATTTACTGATGTAATAACTAAGCCAGTACCAATGGAGGGAGTAGGAGGGAACTTTGATGGGTCAACAGGGGACAGTTTGTGTCATAGCAGCTTCCTGCACCTCTTCAAGGATAGTGGAATAGAGTCGAGAGTCCACAGGGACTGTATTTGCACCCTGGCTTCCTGTCTGATGGACATCACCATTGTGGCAGGGGCTGTGCTTCTGAGTGCTGGATCACACATGGCCACTAGGGAATGTGGGTCTTCAATCATGCATCTTCCTCTTATGTGGCAGCAGCTCTCCACACTCTGAAGTACTTAGCCACACAGAAGTACAAAAGCAGCCATTCAGTTGGCAATGTGAGACATCCTGGTAGCTGTTCTCTCCTCACCCAAGGAAGAGACAGTAGGCCAGAGGAAATGTCCTGTTGCCACTGTTTGGGCTTTGATTAGATGAACCAGGACTTTTATCCAATAACCTAATTGCTTTCTTCTTAGGACACCTGAAAATCATGTTGCTTGTGGCTTTTTTCCTCCCTTAAAAAAACAGCAGCTGTAAGAAAACGTTCTTTTTCAGAGGCTGTTCAGCTGCACGAGTGTGCACCCTTTGAAAAAAGAATAAGAAATCTGGTGTCACAGGTGAATAACCTTTTTGCAGCCAGAGTTCCAGATTATGATGTGCTAACGTTTAATCCTGTACCTCATTAATTCACTACACAGGTGATGAATCAGCGTAATAGTATCGGCAACTCCTGTAACAGTTAGTCTTTGTGTGAACTGAACTGTCTGGCTACCCAGACACTAGTAAGATTCTTTGCATGCTCTGATTTTTTAACGTTAATTTGTGTGTGCAACTGAGCCAAAGTAAGCTCATACTCATGTAATGAAAGATTACTGTCAAGAGGTCTCACTGGTGCTTCTTTGTGTTCTTGTTTTTCTCACAAAGTTCCCCTGTGTTCCTCTCCCTCCTGCTAGGTGCGGCAGCAGAGACGTGCTGCTTCTGAAGACGTTGGGTAGAAGCACAGCAAGTTGAGACAACAGCAGTTTAACTTCCCTTAGGAGATGCCTTTTAAACTCTCTAACCAATGATTTTGAGAGGCTACACTTTCACCTCAGCTTTTCTTATTTCCCACACTCAAAAAAAGCTTATGTGTAAGAAGTGAGCCCTTAGCAAGCTGAGTAGCTCATCAGTATGCAAGACAAACATCAGTATAATTATGGAACAATGAAAAAAACACCCTATTATGACTAAAAAAAGCAGAATCCTGCAAACTTTCATTTATCTTATCTCACTGTCTTACACAGAAGAGTGTGATAATGTGGCTGGAATTAGGTGTTTGTACTTACATACAGTTTCTTGCTGCCAAGTCTCTATGGACAAACTTTTTGCTTGCAAGGTACTTCATCCCTTTTGCGACCTGAAGGCCAAATCCAATTAAATCTTTTACTGTTGGGTTCTGTAAAATACAAACATTTGTGATACAATGAATGCACAAGCCCAAGGAGCAGACTGTTTTTTGCTTTGACGCTCAGTTTTTGATACACTTATCTTGCCACCAGAATGACCGAGACAGGTTGATGCTTGTAGTAAAATTGGCATAAGTTTAGGTCAAGTTCTTACCTCCAGTGAAGAAATAATACACTTTAAGAAATCAAAAAAGCTGAGAGACTCCAGAAGAGTAGAGTTTGCAGCATAAGCAGCATGACCTGGGCTGGGAAGTGGAACAGTATGCTGAAAACCCAGCATCACAGCTGATACACAAAATTCACATTTGTGAACTTGAGAGTAATAGCATGTAACTCAGTAGAAGGTGCTAACTATGAACTTGGAGCTCATCAGCTGGAAAAGACCAAGAAAGGAGAGAGTCCTCTTTGGGGCAAAATAAGTGCAAGCTATCATCAGTATGATGCCATGGAAAAGGTAAATGAGACCCTAGCAGTTACCAGAGGAAGATTTTCCGCAAAGATTGGTAACTCTTTCTGCTGGTCTACAAGGTGAGACCTTACTGAAAATGTTAAATATCAAAATAAGTGTAAACATAAACCTGCAATTCTTTTATCCAACAGCACGAATTGTTATGTAATAGTAAGGTCCCACAGATTTTTGTGCTTCTGACATTGCTCTGTGTCATTTTCTTCTGTGGAACAATCTTGTTCAACTGTGGTCATTACTGTATTTACTTCAGGAAGAACCACGGCACTATTCACAGACAAGGGCCCTGATGCTTGTAAAATGAAAGAAGCTCAAAAGGGAAGAGGTCCCTACCTCAGAAAGCTTAACTCCCCCAACAACTTGTCAAGATGCGTTTGTTTTTTTTAAAAATTGTACTGGCTATTGTTGATTGCCATAGAGGCAGGGGCAAAATCCTATTGGCGCAGAAGTCACTTTATATTGTCCTAGCACTGTGAAATGGGTGAAATACTACAGTATAAAGTGGGCTTACACTACCTGAGGCAAGACCTGTGGTCTCATACTTGAGAGAAAGTAGTGAGAAATCTGCAGTCTTTCAAAGGAAACAGGGAAAATCTCTGATAATAGAGTACTCATAGTTTGTATAACAATTGCTGGTTTTCTTTCTTAAGATAAGAAGAAAAAATATTGATAATAATGGGACTGTGACACTAGCTGGACATGAAGATCCCTTACCTAGGAGTTGGAAGAGCAGATGGTGACAACTGGCACAGCTGTGCTGAAGTCAACAGAGAGATGCCAGTTCAAACCAGCAGATGGTTGGGCCCCTTGACTTAGATCTCATAAACACATTTGTTTATAAAAAGGCTTATGGATGGGAAATGAGAAATACTTATTGCTGATAATTTCTGGGAAACATTCTAGAGAGGAATTTGAGGGGGAAGGGAAGGAGTGGCAGCGCTGTGGTCAGGCTCAGTGCCAGCCTAAGCAAGTGCTAAAGGTTAAGGTGTAGTAACAGCAGCAAGTTACAGACGTAATGTAATTATCAGAGCTCATAACCTGTGGTGTTGGAGCAGGGTGTGGCTAGACTTGCATTACCGTTTGGTAGACCTCACCACGTACTTACATGAGTCTCATTCCTAATGAAGTTTCGAAGATCTCCGTGTTTCATGTATGGAAGAACGACTAAGGGGGATCCTTCATTGGGCAAGCAGATTCCCAGGAGTGACAGAACATTGGGATGAGTGAAATCTTTCATGATTATTCCTTCTTTCAGAAACTGAGCTACTTCTTCCAGGTCGGTAATCCCTGAGAAATCCAGTAATAAAATGAGTTAATTAAAAGAAACCCAAACAAACTACAGTTCATTTCTGTACAGCATGTCACTGCACAACAAGGTGATAATGAGAAGCTACAAACATGCTCCTCACCTCCCACATTACAACTAGGTTATGTGCATTAGTTTTCTTACAATGACAAAATACAGTTTGCTGGTGATTTTAATTCTGTTTCTCCTTTTCTTATTATGAATTGTTTAGAATTGAATAACAACACTTGAGTAAAGCCTTTAATAAATGTTATAGTTTCTTCCTGTTTTTCCAGCACCTTTGCCCACTCTTTAGCAATTTAACTTCCAAACCCAAATCTTCAGTAGTCAGTTGAGTAAAAAATGACACTGCCTTTCCTTCATTTTCCTGTGTCTTTTTCTTTGTAGAGGAAATATATGGGTATTTCATCTGATGTACGAATATATACCAATGCCTTGTGGTAATCTGGAAATGCTCCAGGGAGAAATCTGATCCAGGTGCAACTAAGAATCTTTATTTGTGAAAGTACACTTCACTGCAATTAATTAGTTCACCCCAGTTATCTTTGGAATTATGGTAATGTCTCTCTATTAAACATGTAACTCACTATTCAGTGACTTCACAGCACAATGAATTTTCCTGCCATCGTTATCCAGCAATGTCCCATGGTACACACACCCAAAATGTCCTGTGTAAAAAATGAGCAAGATTAGCTTTAATAAGTAAAATTAGCTTTCTGGTATTTTCCACAGGGTAACAATTATGCTTTAAGAAAGTGATCACACTCTGTTTCTGTCCAATTCCCAGCACTTGTAATGTATACTTCATAACTAACACGTAAAACTACCATTACATAAAACCACCATTACATAAAATGAAAACTCTATTTCCAGCATAATTGATATTTCTTGACCTAGATGGACATTATAAATAATGACAAGGCTGGCGCCACAACCGCTTCATGTTCCTGTAATGACTATGCACACAAAAACCATGTCAGCCCATTCCCACCATACTCTTCTGTGAGATATATGTCAAAGGATGGCACTGGAAGGCACAAGGGAGCAGTTAGAAGCTGACATGACCACTGGAGCGGTGGTTCCCAGTGGTCTGCAAGCCCATGCTAAGTGGTCCACTGGACTGTACAACCTTGATGCATCTTCACTGGAAAGTTGCATAAGGATGGTCACTGTGGGCTTACAGTCTCTCAGGTCTTGCTATTCCATGGAAAATGTTGAGTGCTAAAAGTGGTGTGTTGGCCATGAACACTTTGGGAATTGCTCTACTGATCACAGAATCACCACATCGCTAAGCGGCAGTCTATGGTCTCTGCTATGGCATAGTTCCAAGTGCAAAATGTCACTAAAAGATGATGAGCAAAATTTGCCTTCTTTCTCATGGTCTCAGCAGTGAAATAAACTGTCAGGGACACAGAAGTCCTTCCTGATCCTGTGCATCCTGCCAAGCAGATGGGGTAGCCTACAGAAACCTACTATGGGGAAACCCACTATGAGAAGTCAGGTGGACCTGTTTGGGAAACAAAGAACTGTGAGCTCCAGGCATGGGCATTAATTTATCCGAATCAAATTATATACATGTAATGGTGGCTTTCCTTCACAGATGTACTATTTACTGGACACTTTAAAAATACTAATATTTGCAGTTAGGAAGCAAAATAGTTTTTTGCCAAATGTGAGTTCTGCAGAGAACAAGACTATCTGATTAATTCTACCAGGTTCCAGTCATAAGTGCTGGTCAGAGCCCAGCTGGCTTTGCTTTTGGCTTGGGGTAAAATTAATGGAAAGTTTGTTTTATAAAAGCAACTAAAATCCCATAAGACCACAGATTGTTTGGAGCCTGGGCACAAATCCTAAAGCTTGGATTGGGTGTGTCTAAAATATTTTTCGGTTTGGCCCATTTCTAGTTATGGAGGAGAAATTAAAAATGGTTAATTATATTGGTGTCATTCCTGATATTTTTCAACATTTAAAAAATGGGAAATTACTTGGACTTCCCTGAAACAAGAAAGAAAAGAAAAAGGCCCACCCTTGCTTTGGGGATGAAGTAGTGTAATACATGGAAGGGAAACACACTGACTGTTTGTTTGATTTGTGGCTATTTTCCTGCAGAAGAGGCATTAGCAATGTCATTTATGGCCAAATTCTTATCAGTATTCTGATACTCAACAAGAGACCTCTCATGCATGATCTGTCGAAGTACTAAAAATCCAGTTTCTGCTTGGGTTACTAATAGGTATTCAATAGTACAGAGTTTAATAAATGCTCCTAACAGAAATACTGGCTTGGGCTATGAAACAAGGGTGGAACCTACTTATGGAATTGTAGAGGAATAGGAGTGATGGGAGAAATTCAGAAAAATAGGCGACTTGCTATATCAGGGACAAAAATAAGGGGAAGTGAATCAGGAGCCACACATTACTGCAGCTGGAGTGAGAGAGGAATGAGGGGGAACAGAGAGCCTGTGGTGGGAGGAAACAAACAGCAAATTCCTCAGAGCTGGGGGAAACTTGTGGAGGGAAAAGGGGTGTGTGCATTTCACTTGGCCCATGGGGGGACTTTTACTGAATGCACTAGTGACTGCAGGAGTTTTCTCTGTCCTGTAGCAGTCCTGCCAGCTCTCAGGCTCTGAGTTTAAGGTCACTGGTGCCTCCGCCTCAGAATTCCCTGCCATTTAGGTGTGTGCTTTAGGCTTGTGCAATATTCTGCAGCAGCCTCACTCCTGCACCGCAGCCTCATGCATCAGAAGCCCTGGCTGAGCTTTTCTGTAGCCTGGAAGAGGGTGCGAGTGAGACAGCTGAGGGGGAACCAGCAAGTCTCTGAGTTCAAAGGAGCCCCGTTAATGGACAGACTCCTTCCTCCCTCTGGTGTCTTCTCTGATCAAATGCACTACCCTTCATCTGACTTCAGAGGAGAGCCCCTTGGTTACCCCCTTGATTTGGTGCATGGGATGCAGTGCTGTACGAGGTAAAAAGCTTGAAAAACCTCTGTGTAGACACCTTATTCAGAACGGTTTATAATGAATGGGTGTCCAAAAAGAGTTGTGGTTTGCAAGGTAAGAGTTGCAGTACTCACCTCTTCCTATTACTTCACTGAAGTGCACAATCAGGCTGTCAGCACCAATAACCACATGCTGCACTTCTTTGACCAGGTCAGGATTTAAGGCACTGATGTCAATGTGGACATTAGTTTGGAGAAGTGGACTGGCTAAATCGGAGTCCCCACTAGACAGAATTGGGGAGAGGTCAGAGTGAGGATACTGGGCAGGTCTGCACGATCCATTCTGAGACATGCTTGGAAACTGATCTGCAAGATGAACAGAAACCGTTATAATCCTATCAGATTTCTCCTTGGAAAATGAATAGTTTTATTGCATTAGTAAGCAAGGTTTGAGTTTATCAGTTTGGAAGTGGCTTGGCTGTGCAGAATTTTCGGTCACAAAGGGAAAATGAAAATATGCATTGCTAATCTGCCAAACTCCAGGAAAACCATGTCACTAGAAACTTATGCTTGTCTCAGCTCTACTTTTATGAAAGTAAATGGCAAAACTTCCACTTTCCTGAGGGGATGGAATGAAGCCTTGTTACTTCTTGCCAAGTGTAAGTTATAGCATTTCTAGTAATTGGGAGTAACAAGAGTAAAATGGAAAAATGACAGTGATATGGGAGGAGGAAGTAGTGAACAATTAAAAACATGAAACCTTTTATTATTGTCATGTTCTAATTTGGTAGGGAACTTCACATTTCATGAAGGTTTCCAAACGGCTGGTGACTAGCTATATTTATCCAATGGTAAATATTCAACCAGGGAAATGCCTAGAGGTGATTCATATCCTGTAACTGCTGAAGATAATACAGTTGGTGCTACTCATGAAAATAACATGAGCCAGCTGATTTAAAATAGCAGAAATTAAAATGGTTAAGTCAAGCAAGGAGTATTTATTTGAGAAAATAATTTTTGTCAACAACATATTGTTCAGGTATTTTAAATTGCTTTTGTTTAAAAGATTTTTTTCTAGTATTTTGTGTAACAGAATCAAAGAACTAAGTTTAATTTACACCAGTTTGAGTCTGGGATTATGCCAGTGGAGTCAATGAGCAGAATTTAGGCCAGGGTCAAAAAGAAAAAAAGGGAACAAATTTAACAACAGAAATTATCAGATATTTTATCACGAAGAATAAAAGATGTTGTACAGACATGCTTTATATATTTATGCATAAAACCTGGAAAAATTTCATATATTGCTGTTATCACTCTAGGTGCTGAGAAAAACACAGTGCTGCTCTATCTAGAAGTAAAAATACAAACTCTTACATTTACAAAGCCACATTTATGTCACCAAGGGCAAATATCTATTTAATAATCATGGTAAAATACTCTAGCCATGGCTGCAAAATAATTTTTACAGCTGCTACATGTAAATCTGCATGTTTTCTAATGTTCCTGTTATTTTATTCTTTGACAGTAATTAACATAAACATTCCTACAGGAACATTAAGTGACTGCACCTTCTTGGGTGCACTCTCTGCTGTGCTTTGCCAGTGTGCAGTGGCCCCAGGGCCACTGTGGATTTACCTTCCACCAACGATCTCTGCACCGTTTTGTCTCGTGTACCACTATCCCTTCTAACCAGTGACACAGGCTTTCCTTTTCCTTTGGGAATCTTTCAATCAAGAAACTTCCCGTGCGAGCTTGCTGCAGCAATTAAAGGATGATAAAGGAAGCTGGGAATGGGCCTGGCTCTCAAAGGCTCCATGATTGGGGATTACAAAGGTGGAATAAGGATTTGGAGTGATTTCTGTTGAGTTGTATATGGCAGTACACATGGATGTCTACTCAAATTGTCACAGTTTTCACATCCCTTTAGCTTAATTTTTTAAATCAACATTTCTGCGTCATACAGTGTGCCATTTTATAGGAGGGGCATGAACAGACAAAAGAATATCAGTTTACCAAGCTCCATGTCCCATGCTGGGCTGAAAGAACTGCTTTATAATGACTGTATGAAGTCACTGAGACACACTAAACCTACAGCCACTCCATGCTATCCTTAAAATCACTTTTTTCAAAGCGGATTTGCAGTTGGTGTGATGGACCTTATGACAACACAGAATCGTTACGTCCACTATCTCCTAATAAATTGTGGAGCATACTTAAAGAGAGTTTTTACTAATAGTATTTTATATATTCCTCCAACCTGAGTAAAAGTAAAAATCCTTTGCACTTTTATCTTGGGAAGCACCTGAGAAGCTCAGTTCAAATAGCAAGCCTGTGAGCACATGAAAGTCCCAAACAATGCAGACACAGACAAACCAGATGCGAAATTGAAATTAAGATACTGGTCAAAATAGCTATCTGAAGACATATGAAAAGCAAGATGTATAAAATATCATCCGTACAGATTCATAACAGAGCTGTACCTTCTAGAAAAGTTGATCTGTAGTCTACAGATTCACTTGAAACCATTTCTGTTGTTGGACTTACACTCCTCGCGCTCACCAGCCTGTCCAGGTGAGGAGTGTGTACTCTGCCATCATAGCGCACTAGGTCACTTCCCAGATCTGAACGGGAAGGAGAAAGAAATATCAGAAAACCCTCATGTTTACTGTGTGCCAACATTCATTTAGGTATTTATTGAAGTTTAGGTGTTCTGCTCTGCTGGGAAGAGGGTTGGGTTGTTGCTGAAGCCGACATGGGCAGGACTTGAACTTGAGCTATTTGTACAGCCCAAGATTTGCTGTAACTTGGGTTAAAGCCCCACTCTTGGCCACACTAGAAGACTGAAGAGAGCTTTGAAGCCTCTGGGGTCAGCTTCATGATCTGACTGTGATACTGTGTCAGAACAAGACCTGCTTATATACTAGCTCCCCTCCTCCTCCCCCCTTGGGCAGTGTGGCAGTTCCCACTGGAAGGAAACCCAGACATGGGGGCCAGAGAGGAGGCACACTCTGACCAAGTTCCTGATTTGGGTGAACAGGAGACCAGGACGCTGCAGTGCTCTGTGTCTTGCACAACTTAGGCACAGCTGGGAGGACTACAAGGCAACGGGATGAAGCTGAAGTACTCATGATTCCACGCATGTCATTTACTCATCCCCTCTTCCAAGGCTGATTGGGGGAGAGAAGTTACTAAGTTTTCCTAATAGCTCAGAGTTCCTCTGAAATCCTTCTCCTTTAGGCATAGCGTGGCCCTTCACCCAGCTCAGGCAAGAGCCAAGGGCTGAAATGTAACTAAACATTGGACTTGATTGTGAAACCTCTGCTGACAGGTTATAACAGGGCATTGCATGGCAGTTAAGCAAAGCATAAATTGATGTCAGTTTTTAAAATCTAAGATGTAATGGAGTGATTTGATGGAATTAACTATGATGGACCTTTAATTTGTTTCTTCTTCCTTCTCCAGAGGAAAAACACCAAAAAGATGAAAATTAAAACTGATGTTGAAACAACTCCAGCAATTAGTCCTGTGAAATTCTGATCTTGCCGGATCAGCACTTTTCCAATAACTGTTGACAAAACTTCTTGCTTCCACTGAAAAAAACAAAGAAAAGTAATAGGGTAATGATTTCAAAAGACAAGTAAGAAGTACATTATTAGTACTAAAGTATGAGCTGGTATGTCCCACATGTATTAAATCTTGATTTTGTGATGCTGTACTGCGATAAGACACTGGGAGTGGAGAAACTGTTCTATTGGTGCATGCAAAAGCTGATCTACATTTTAATGATTTATTACATGCCTTCAAGAGCTCTGGTAGTGACACAGCTATGTATGTGCTACACCACACATATAGCACGCATTCACACACACACTCTGGATAATGGGGTTTCACTGCTACCAGATGTTAATTCAAAATGCTAAATTCATATTTTTACTCAAATGGTGCACAGAAATGTATGGGCCTATGAATATATGGGCTGAGATGTACATTAAAAAAAAAAGCCCAAATGTCTTTAATATGTGTCCTTCTGGCATAAATACGCTGTAACATCAAACTCTCTCTCTGCTGACAGCATGCCTGCATTTTAGTTCCCAAGGTCACGTGAGCCCGTCCCTTGCCAGCTTCTAGCTTGTCAACAGTTTAAAGAAACAAAACAAAAAAACAACCCCCAAAAATCAACAACCAAACAAACACCAAGCAGCTAACAGGGAAAAACTGTTTTAGGTCACACGGCACTAGCTCAGTCAGTTGGAATGCATTTGGCCATCTTTTCTCTTCCTCCTGTGGAATTCATTCCTCTGGGTACTGTAATGATGGATTTGCCCGTCAAAAGAGCAAATTTTCTTCTTCGCTGGGCAGACTGCAATTTCTGAGGCTCCTTGCCAGTAAACAAGCAGAAACCTTATTTAACCCCTTTATGTTGTGTTCTTTTCTATGTACAAAATACATGTCACGCATATCTATTTCTTAGAGGTTAAGGAAATATCACATAGTAGAAATGATTGAATGTAGTGCCAGTCCCGGTTGCGTATGTAAAAATACGAACAGGTACAGAATGCAACATGTAGTATTATATGAAACTAGGCATTTACAGTTCTGGGAAACAGATACACCAAAAGGAGAGCTGCATCTAATTTTATACTTTGCCTGATACATCCAAGAAATTTAATTTGTACTTTTCAAAATAAATTAATATTAAAATAAATTAATATTTACTGTATTAATAAAGCCAATTAGTTATTACTATTTACTTAGATTGCAGTAGCACATAGGAATACCATTCACAGCCCAGGATCCTCTTGGGATGAATGCCATAAAGACACAGAAAAAATAGATGGCCCATGCTCCAAAGATCTTACATAGACTTTGATCCTTATCACACTTACATGACTGGCAAAGTCTCCACTGTTTTCAGTGAATCAGAGCCCATGATCAGTAAATTTCATAGTTTAAAGGTAATCCCATTCCGCTGTGATTTTCTTTTTTTATACTTAAAAAAAATACAGATACTGAAAGATTTGTGTCTTATTCTATGAATCAGTAGGTATAAAACTGTCTACAATTTGCAGTAGCACTCTGAATGACTCTAGTGAGACCACCTTTAAAACAATAGTGGAACTCAAACATTTGTCCTAAGTGTCTGCATCTTACAAAAATAATTGAAATGGAATTATAAAAAGCAGACAAAAAATTCTTTCAGAAAGGATTGGTCCTCTTGATGGCAGCAATTTTTTTTTGCTGAAAAAAGGGCTTGTGAGCTCCAAAGTAAACCTACTCCATTATAGCTTCCTGTTCTTCTCCATATGATTCCTCTTGTGTTTGGATTAATAACTATCATTTTATTTCTGTGCTTAGTTTAGGTCCTACTTTGTGCCTAAGGCTCCAGAAGGTCTTTGTACAAATAGGTAATAACAACAATGATGATAATATTTATTTTAAAATAGTCGATATTATTTGAATTTCTATCCCAAACAAACAGGGATAGAGATATCTCTGTAAATACAGGCTTAGGCTTACATTTAAAGTTTATAGGTTCAATAGTGACATTGGTAATGATAATAAAAATGGCATTAATATCTCATGTCTGGTGTAGCTGCCTCACCTCTATATTTAGCTCACTGTTGGATTTCAGGAGATCGCTGGGAACCGTACACAGAATTGATTCTGACTGCAGGAGGAGGTTTTCGCAGCTTTTATTTCCAACTTTTAGCACCTCTCCTTTAACAGCTTCTGAATCAATATAATTTCCCTTGGGAAAAAAAAAAATCAATTTCATATTACATAACATCTCATAAAAGTTAAGAAGTCCTTTTATTACTTTGGAAAATGTTTTTAATGGAAAAACAATTGTGAAATAAAAGACTAATGCAAATTTACATTGCCCTGTCAATATATGTGTATCAGGTGTTTTTCATGTAAATGGGAGTTTGACAGACAGCCCAGAAGGGGATGATAAAGTTTACGGATAAAATCTGCTGTCACTAATACAACCCGTACAGACTTCTAAAAATGTAGATGTTCGAGGGATAAATCCTGTTGGTCTTGTTTAGATTTTTGCATAATTTGCACTAGAAGGGAGGCATTATGTGACCCTGTTGTTTATACAAAACTGGCATTATATTATCCACAAACTAAAGGCATCTCAAAAATTTTGTTTTGCAAGTGGTTATGGTAGCAGGAGTGAAGCTTTCAAAAAGAACTAATTAATTATAATCACAAAAATGCACAAATCTGTAAAAATCACATTCCACAGACCAGAAAGGAACAAACCCTGGTAAAGATGACAGCACAAAAAGTGCACTCCCTCCTCAGAAAACCTGCTTTCACATCCCAGATTTGGATGAAATATTATTCCTTCTGGTATTGTGATAGTAGTGTCTAAAGGCCAAGTTTGGGATCTTTTGTGCTCAGGACTGCACCAGTATTTAAGAAGCTACCCTACCCCATGTACAGCCCAGCTTAAGATGAAAAAACAGGCATATTAAGCAGGTTTAAAAGGGGAGAAAGGAGGATGGGGAGTAACACTAATACAGGCTATTTATGTGGGCTGGATCTGGGAGGTTTTCATGAGAAGGGAGGAAGGTATCATGGCTGACACTGCTATGAGGCCTCATATACTGGAAAGAAAACAAGAATCCCATTCTGAGGGGCTAAAAAAATCTTACTTTGGCATATGTTTTAGGTCTGCTGCAGAATCAGACTGAGCTCTGGGAAAATTTTAATAAACATACAGGAGAGCCAGTTTAACGTCCTATTTTGACTGGCAAAGCCACACCCCAGGTAAATGCTTTTTAATAGCTGGCCAAAAAAAGTCCATTTTGCACCCATCTTCTGTCTACTTGGAGACATTCTCTTTGGTGTTAATTAAGTAAATATTCAGTGGGCCAGGGAGCATGTGATTGACTGCTTATTGCTTATTAGTATGGAGACTTGCTGCAGATTGTGAGCCATTCATGTCCAAATCTTTCCTTTGAATGATGTACCTCAAAAGACTTGAATTTGAGTTTTCCATCTCCAGGATAAATATATTATCCTGGAGAGTGTGGGTAAGTGGCCTCTTTTCCTTCTACACCAAATCTTAGCATTTTTTTCTCCACCAAAACTGATACTTACCCAAAGGGGAAAAAAAGATCATACTGATGTTTCCTAAGGTAGTCCTTAGCCAGTTATAATGATGATAGTAGCTTTTACTTACTACCATTACGTTACCATTAATATATTATAGTTTCAAATATATTCACTATAATATCTCTATATTAAGAGTTTCAAAACTCTTTCAGCAGTGGTTTTGCTCTTCTCAGGACCACAGAATTTGCCTATGATTTTAAGAAAAGGAGGAAACTGGCTCTTGTGAGAACTGGGAAACAATATTTCCTATTCTAAAATGCATATTACCCCTTCCTTGCTAAGCAAAGCACCTGTATGCAAGCTAGAGAAGCTCATTACTGGACTGAGTAGTTGCTGCAAACCAATCTGATAGATCAACTACCACACAACTTTAGAGAGAGGGGAGTAATTTGGGTGAAAGTCTAGAAGCAGTAGGAGGACCACAAACCAAGGCATGGAAATTCTGAGATTTGTGTCAGAAGAATTTTTGAGGTTCCTAAGCAGAGCCGGTTGACTTGGGAAGAATGAGGAGTTACTGCAGCTGCAGAGCTTCCACTTCAGCTTGCTCAGAAATACCAGGGTTTCCATATTGCACTCCCTGGGACCAGACATTGAGAGAAACATAATTTCTATGTAATGTGGAAGAAGATTGAAAAATAGAGTGACCTATAAATACAAGAGGAATTCCTTAAGAGTGTCTCATAAAGAATGTGTTGTACTGGCTTAGGAATAGACTAAGTAATTTAGTAAGTCTTGTCCTACTCTGAGTTTTAGGGCAAATGTACCGGAGGAGAGCCAAGATCTCAGAAGTTCTGTGTAACATGAAATGACAATTGTACCACTTATTTTTCTAGTGGAAGATTTGTATTTATAAATACACTTCAGTCACCTAGAGGTCCATTCCTAGGCCTCCTCTGGAAGCATGCAGAGAGTCCCCACACTGGCTTGGTGCATAAGCACAACCCCAGACCAGGCCAGGCCTCTGGGCAGACTGAAGCAGGATGCTGTTTCTTTCCTTATTTATTTGGGTTTTTTTTCACAGCTAGGACACATTGGGCTGTCAGCAGGCCAGCTTGCAGATCTTGGGTCAGTGGCTCCTGCGGGAGGCAGCAAGTAGACTCTGTCCTCTTCAGTAGATTCAGGTCTTTCGTTGTCCCCAACAGTGAAACACCAGAATTTCTCCTGCCCTGAGAGCTTCCCGTGTTGGTGGGAGACAGGAGCACTTCTGAAGTGCTGTCTTCACAGTATGGAAGCAGAGAAGTACCTCAAGCCACTCTGCCATGACCCCTCTGACTGGGGCATGGTGGGCACTGAGAGACTTCAAAGAGCCACATACTTGGCAGAGGAAGACAGCGATGATGTGGGACCTTGAGAGGCTTGGTAGTGTGGAAGACAAAAGGGCTGGCACTGAAGACAAGAAGGGCTGGCATTTGTGGCACACAGTGCCCTGACTGTGTTTTAGATAGAAGACTTAATGTTTTCTTGTGTGTAACATTTTCTTACAAAAACATCTTATGGTCATCAGGGGAAACCAAACAGAACCTTTCAATTGGTACCTACTGTCATTTGATGAAAGCCAAATATGTCACACTAGATTAGTTTGATTGAAAAACTTGTGATAAAACTCCTTCCACCCCTCTGAAACTAATTAAGAAAAAGATAAAAGAACTTTGGTTTGGTAGAACGGACTGTTCACTGAAGCAAGCTGCCATTTAATTTCATGCTGAGCTTGCTTAATTACTGCACAAAATATGACCATGAGGCATGTAAACTTGTGTGTGTATATTTTTGAATGTGGGTATGGGGCAAGAGAAAAGAGTTGCCAATATGGCTTGTAATGATCTTTTGGCTCCCGACTATAATTTCTGAAAGTCGCCTCACTGTTTTGGTAGAAGCATCCCACTATAACTAATTCTATTTAGAGGAAGATGTTAAATTGGTGCTTGTTCATGCTTTGTTCTAGGAGACCAGCTTTCACTAACGTTATTCTCCAGTCGGTTGCCAGGAAATAATCAGGGCATTAGGCTTAGGTAGACATCTGCCTTGGGTGCCATGGCTACAGGTGACATCAATGCTACAAAATTGTGACATTGGTCAGTTGTCAGTGGGACAGTCCTCAGCCAGCCTTTCTCATCTGAATGGCTTCTTCCCAGCAATGAATAGCACTAGGAACTTCTCCTTAAGGGAGAATAAAAGGTTCAAGAGTAAAAGAAAGAAGAGAGTTAAAAAACACCTAATTTTTAACCTCAGTCCCTGGGAAGATTGTGGAGCAAGTCTTCATGGAAGCTTTTCCAGGGAGAGGAAGGACAAGAATGCAATTGGGAACAGCCACCATCAGTTCCTAAGGGAGCATTTTGCCTGAGCGGCCTGATTGCCTTCTACGAGGAGATGACTGCTTCTGTAGATGAAGGGCGAGCACTGGACAACGTTTAGCTTGATTTTAGCAAGGTTTGCAACACAGTCTCTCCTAGCACTGAAAACAAATTGGGATGATAGGGACTGGGTGGATGGACCATAAGGTGGGTGAAAAACTGACTGGCCATCAGCTCAAAGGTTAGAAGTCTAACAAGTGGCATTCTGCAATGGCTGATACTGGGACCAATACTGCTTAAAATCTTTATCAACAACCTGGACAAAGGGACAGGATTCACTGTCCTTGCACTTTCAGATGTCATCAAATTTAGGAAAATTACTAAGATACTGGAGGGCAGGACCACCGCTCAGAGTGACTGTGGCAAGCTGGAGGAGTGGGCCAGCAGGAACCTCATAAATTCAACAGACAGATGCAAAGTCCTGCACCTGGGGTGGAATAACCCCATGCACCAGGACAGGCTAGGGACAGCAGGGTAGCAAGACACTCTGCAGAAAAGGACTTGTGGTCCTCATGGACCACAAGGTGAAATGAGGCAGCAGTGTGCCATTGTAGTGAGGAAGGCTCACCACATACTGCAGCAGCAGCAAAGCCAGTAGATTGAAGGTGATTGTTTTTTCGCTGCTTGGCACTTGTGAGACCACACCTGGAGAACTGTGTCAAATTTTGAACCCCACAGAACAAGAGAGATACTGACAAACTGGATGAAGTACAGCAGAGGGCCACTGAGCTAGGAAGGGAGCTGATGCAGAGGATGCATGATGCAAGGCTAGTGGAGCTGGGTTTTTTTAAGCTGTAAAATCTCCATTCTTGGAGATCTTCAAAACTCATCTAGACAAGGCCATAGGCAACCTGATCTAATTTTTAACTTAGCCCTGTTTTGAGCAAGGGGGTTAGACTACGAAGACCTCCAGAGGTTCCTTCCAATCTAAGTTATTCTATGATTCTTCTCAAATTAGTCTTCCTTCCAATTGGTTTATACGCATGACCTGGAAAATACTGGAAAACACTGCTGTCACTGCACAGAGGCACTGAGCCATGCAGCAACTATATATTCCCAGCTGTCCGTTGACACACACACCAGAACTCTTTCTAGCATTTCTCCGAAACTGAACAGGACAATTGCTCTGCGTTGAGGAAAAGGTGATTGTACGGCCACAAGTTCCAAGTAGAAAAACCAAACAAAAAAATAAAATCAGACTGATTATTCTTTGCAATTTCCCCAAAACACTGTGTGGAGACAGATCAATATTAAGAGTTTGACTGGAACCCAGCATGGCTGACAGAGGCTCTGAGGTAACTCCCTCTGATTTCCTGCAGCTCAGGAGCTGGCCCACTGGACCATCTTGGGAGTCAAAGACCTCAGGGCTTCAAGATTTCATGACTGTCATAGGGGAAAATAGTTTTGTCTTACAGAACTATGGAAGAGCTACACAAAGAGATGACCCCAGCATTAAGACTGACTCTCTTCTGTAAAGCATTTTTTATAGAATATATTCTATATAAATTACAGATATTCTATATAAATTACTTGTACATAATAACACATTTTCATAAACATCCACTGTAAATTAGAAATACCTGTATTTATACTGTTTCTATTTGATACTCTCAGAAAAGCACTAGATTTCAGGAAATCGGACTCTCACGAAATGGATTTAACTTTCTCCGCAGCACTGTAGTAGAGAGCAGCCTGTGCCTGCAAGGGCCCTGAATTCCTAAGAGATGTTTCTCAGTGCCATGTAGGCTATTCTCAATGCTCTTTTAAAAAGCACTCAGCATCAACTTTGCATTTTTCATGGATCCATAAATATTTAGGCTACAGTGGTGACTGATCCTCATGAGTGACTTTGTGCACAGGCCAGAGTTTCCCGCAGCTCTAGAGAGCCAAAGCCACTAGGCCACTTTCTAAAGGCAACTCCACGTCTTTCATGAGGAAGGAGACAAACCCATGTGACAGTAAGAGCCACGACTCACGCGCAGACCACACACTTCAGGTTCTGGGCTGTTGGCCATGTTTGATACTGAACTGGTGACGCAACTCATCGCAATCAGAAGCTGATGCAGTGCGGTCCTCCCACGAGGACCAGGAAAGTCCCTCTTTCACCCCACCTGATGCCAACAATGACCCTGGTATATAAATTTGTTTTCAGCTCTACATCTTTTAAGTTGTGACATCTGGGGGCTTGGGTGAACACAGTACCGAACACACTGCTCTTTCTGCCCTTGCTTCCTTGGGGCTTCTGTTATTTCATCAAAATATCTGTTCCACTCTGTGCTGCTGATATGCACTTGCGAATAATTGAAAAACTTATTTAAACATTTCTTACCTTAATTTCCAGAATGTTTTGGTTGCCTCTTGAGATGAACACCGGCTTTTCAAAATGCTTAAATACAGGATTATTTACATAATCAAAATCAAAGTACAAAGAGCTGACACCATCAAAAATAAAGAACACTTTTGTTACAAAGGGTGGTTGGAGATTGAAGGCTTTCAGTGAAGGAGTTGTACAGCAGATTATCTCTGAGCTAGAGCGGTGGCTACATGCCTATAAGAAAGAAAGAAAAGAGGTAATTGCAGTAAGTACGTGCATAGGAAGTCACTGATGACCGTTACTGTTCTCTAACAATATGCGTATATTGAAAAAATAAACACCAGGGGTCTTGTTCTTCTTTAACCAAAGCAAAATCTTGATCACTGCTACACAGCGTTTATTTAGAGCTGGGAGAAAAGTATAAAAGCTTCATGTCAATGGTGTTTGCACTCTTGTTGAGGAAATGTTCAAGTAAACAAGCTTCCTGGCCTGATTGTTCACAGCACTTTTAAAGTAAATATTTTGCAGATAATTAATGGAAAATTATTTCCAAAGCCAAGGACCATTAGGAGGCTAGCCTGATGTACTGAGCAGCCACAATTCAACTTACCCAGCCTATATCAGAGTGACTGCCACATGGGTTTTTCTTCCTTTTTTACTACCAAAGCAATAGCAAGGGACCAGAGGAGAAGGTAAAGACAGGGCCAGTGAATCTGACTGAAATAGCGGAAAACAGAAGTAAAACACCATTTACCCACAGCATAGCTAAATTGCTATGGTTCCAGAAAGGCGCTACAGACTCTGTGAGAAAGTGCTTTAAAGCCAAAGCCCCTGTGGGATTCTGGGCCACGAAAGCTCAGCAAAGTGTATCTTCTTTCTAAAAACTTATGCGTAAGGCCCCGGACATGCAGCATTTGGTGCTTTAGTTATGCAGGTGTCATGCAAGTCCCTCCTGGGAGTGTTGACTGGGGGACATGCTTCACGTTGTCTCTCGGATCAGTGTGGATGAGATGTTTGCCCCTCACTGCAGCGCGGGAGCTGCCTGACAACAGGCATGAAGCCACGCTTGCCCCTCACTCCGCCGTTATTCCTCGTGAGGTCCTGCTCCGGAGGTGCCTCCTGGGGGAAAGCTGCTGGTGCACCCCACGCTCCAGAAGACCTGCCAGAGCACGGTTTGTGCCATGGGGGTGTGATCCAGTGTGAAATGTCTGGCCCGGGTGCTTCCCTCTACCCCATACTGCCTTGACACAGGACTTGTGAGACAGACGGGACGGACCCAGGTACTTCCTAAAAGGACTGCTGTGTTGCAAGCAAGGACAGAGGGGATCTGCAGGCAGCCTGATCTGAAGCTGAGTTTAGGCAGTTTGCAGGGATAATATGAATCCTTGCAGATGGGATTCATCCAGCCTGCATCCAGACACCTGCACTGGAGTTAGTTGTCTGAACTGCCTTTATAGTCAACAGAGGGAAACAGGCTCACCTAGAGTGGGATTCATCTGATCCATTTTAGACAACAGCTTTAATTAGATTAACGGTGCTCCAGAAGGGTCAACTCGTCTTTCTTGACTGTGAAGGTTTCTACATGACTAATTTGATTATAATGTCAACAGCACATCTACAAGCGTCGATGGGAGGCACGGTGGGTGCTGGGCAGCATCACGCAAGCTGCAGAGCGGTTTGTGATTGTACCGTGTACTTCCTTCTCTGTGCCTCCCTTTCACGCTGCCTACCGTGGATATGGTTGAAGGAATTCTGGCACAAACAGAGTTGCTTCAGCTCCACACAAGTATTTCTCTTCCAACTGTATAAACCTCCTGTAAGTAGTTCCGTGTACACTGTGCCCTGACAGCAGAGATTACTTTTTTTTTTTTTTTTTTAAATATAAATAGAGTGGCTGACATCTGCCCCGGTGAGAATGGGGCTTAGCTCCTAGTCATCATAAATCTTACGTTTATTCTACCAGCAATTTCCCTGGAAAACCCAACAGTGCTGTTGAATACCTTTGCGCATCTAGAGAAGGCCAAAAAATATATATTTTTCTGTTTTGTTTTTCAAATTAAATTGGTTCTCATTATAAAAAGCTGCCTGAAGGAGCTGTGAAATTAGTTTACATTTGTCTCTAATATGCTAAATCAATGCAATGTAATTTTGGTGTTTCAATTCAGTAACATAACCGTTCAAGCTATATCAGTTATATACTCACATTAGCTTGAAAAGTGGGATTAAATTATCTACAAATCAGCACTTTTAGTTATCACCACAGCAATTCATGTTTCTGGGCATAATACTGTGAAATCTTGAATCTGCTGAGGGAAACATTTTCAAGGCTCTGAAACTGAGCACTAGAGTTTTAGAGCTTTACTACAAGGGTTACCTGTCTGTGAGCTGAGAGTTCGGCACTCAGTTAAATGGTGTAGCTCTCAGTGATGTTAATGGGACTTGCACCCATGTAACTAACAGCCCGTTTAGATTCCCAGCACAAATTCAGAAATATTTGTGCACCCCCCATGACAACAAGGTAATCTGTGGGACACAAGACAAAGCAGAATTTCTTTCCATTTGCCTACAGTATTAGACTGTTCTTCCTCTTTTGAATACCTTGTTATACACCATTGACTATATCTCAGGCTTTGTTATATCACAGGGATCTAGAAATTCATTGGAATCAGTATGGTAATAATAAGATGCATCATTAGTATAATGGATGGTCAAGCCATACTTTTCCATTATATATGAATATTTGTAAAGATATCTATCATATTGTGTCGATTCTAAAAAGGGATTACTAAAATATATATAATTATAAACCCAAATATGTCCCAGGTAATCATTATATTTTTGATTAATGTAAATTCATTAGACTTTTTATCTACTGTAGAGTAGTGATGTCCCTTAAATGAATAGCAGTGGTATTCATAACTTTGTTTGTGGCTATCTATTAGAATCAGATACTTTACTTTATCAGGCTGGTCTCTGAAGAGGAAGCTTTCAGAAAATGATAAAAATCTAATAATACTCTTTGGAGGGGATGCAATGTGACTGATTGGTAAGGTCAAGAAAAATCTTATTTGCAATGCCCTTATTGGTACATGATTTGACATGACATTTTTACCTTGAAATTGGTTTTAGCAATTGAAGAATATGACGGTTTAGTTTTCAAGAAATATTGGATTGACGATCTATAAGAAAAAAAACCCCTAATTCAATCTATTACCTTCTCAGTTAAGATACTGCCTATCACCCAGCACCTTTAACTTTTATTTAATTAGGCTTTAAAGTACATTCACTTTAAAAGCTAAGCCTACATTCTTCTTGTGACTATAATCTACATCTGAAGACAATAAGGAAGAAAAGATGTAAAAATTATGGACCATTTCACAAGCATAAGTAAATACTAAACCCCAAAGGGAATAATAATCCATTGCACAATGTATATGACTCATCACTTAAAGGTATGTATTCTTGTTTCATTTGTAAAATATGACCCTTGAGGCAATTAATTCAAACCTGACCTACAGAATCTGAACTTCAGTGCCCAATTCAATTTTTTTCATCTGATAGAACAACAGGAAAAGTATGAGGGAGGATCTCTGAGCTCCAGAGGTCTCCCAGCAGCTGACCCAGATAAGAGAGGGGCAGTTGGATGTGTGTTACAGGATCTGTAGCAGTCAGAAGGGAGAAAAGGGCCAATTTGTCCTTTCATAAAAAGTAAACTTTTGGAGTTCCAGTGAGGAATGAAAGACGAATGAGGTTAAATACAGACCGGGAGACTCTCCAACTGTCTTTGCCAAAGGATGATTTCTCAACAGAAAGAGATGAGAATTCAGGTCTGACTTGAGGAAAGCCCATTCAGAAAGCTTTTCTGTGTAGGTGAGAAACTGAGCAGTGACACTCAAGCAGGGTATCTTGAAGATTTTTCAGAGAACTGGTTGGCTTTTGCTGCCATTTCAGGTAGCACAATGAATGGCCTAATGGATCAGTAGCACCTTTATTCTAGTTGTCTTCTTGGATGAAGGCATGGGAGATGATACTTCCAGTCTATCAGATCATTAGACCAGAAGGTAGAGTAAAACCTCTCTTGCTCCTGGGTCTGAGAACCAGCCCTTCAGACACTACGACCAATACTGACTGGTAGTCTAAATTCCTCCCTGGGCTTGGGATGGTCAATGTACCTGCTAGCACCACATCCCCGGCACCCTGGTGATTTCACAGTGTGGGCTTTTCCCTGACACCCCCTGCTGCACTTTTTCCTTGGCAGGAGATGTGCATGAGATCCAGATTCGGCACAGAAAGAAAGGCCAGTGGTTCCCCTTCGTGAGGGAAACTCTTTGCTGGGATTCTGTGGCAGCTTTATGCCACAGAGTCAACACCGACAGAGGATCCAGCCCTGCGTATCTTTGGATAGGTAGTCAGGAATATCTTCAGTAATCACACGCTTGCCATCCACAGTTTCCAAGGAATTTATACTATCATTATTTAATAATTCTAAGGTAGACACTTGCAGGTGAATTCTAGGCATTTTGATGAGTATTATAAGTATGGACTGTTTGTGGACTTGTAAACACCGAAGAAACTCTAGGGTATTTTAAAATTCTCCTGTAATACAGAAGGAAAGGGTAGGGAGCAATTAAGAAATGCTAAAGATCATTCAACAGACTACTTACTGAAGAAATAATTAAAAGTCTGTGGAAAGAGATGATCTTGCGTAGCTACAAGGTCAGTTGTTGAAGATCATGCATTAAAAGGTGCTTCTCCCTAATTTTGCAACCTTGCATATCTTGGGACATTCATGGTTAGAAGAGATTAAGCAGTGGGAATATATATCCAAATTAGTTAATGGATGGAATATTAAAAATGTTACAGCAAACAAAGCCCAAATGACCACTTGTTCACTATTGGGGAATCAATGCGAAGTACAGTCTTTAAAAGAGAAAATATTGGCCTCAAGTGCTTCAAAAGCAGAAGAATCATCTAGCAAAACTTATAGCAGAGGTTAGAAGACACTTATTTTGTAAACAGGCTCCTGATCAAACACCATTCCAAACTGTGCAAAGCTTTTTTACAGGCACAATGCAACGTGAAAAGAAGGAATGAGCTGCTTCCCTCCTTGTGCACCTCACATAGGAACTGGATGTGTGAGCAGAAGTGAGAGGGTTTGTGTATCCTTATGCATTACCTAGAGCTGTTGGGAGTTTCTAAAGTGCCTAAATTCATATTTTTTGTTCCTAGTCAGAACAAATGGTCAAACAACCTCATGAAATAGAAATTAAAAAGAAACACATTGCAAGCATTGAAACATATGGTTCAATAACTCTAGAACATTTTTTTCACTCATTGAAATACCAAACTTGAAGAAGGCAAAGTGTATTATTTTGATAGTGTTAACATAGATTGTAATATAAACACAACTACTGTGAACACAGTATTGAATAATTTTATGGAAATTTAAATAAATATGAAATGAAAATGATAAAGTTGAAGGAAGGCATCTTTGCCTTATAGAAGAAGATGTTTCAGAAATACTGAACTTCAAACATGAAAGCTGAAAAGCTCAACTTAAATGTTTCTGCTATAGGGGGCTGGCATATTGCCCTCAAAACTTTTCAGTCTCAGTGAAACTGCATTTCTTATGGGGAGTTGTTCCAGAAAAGCTCTTTCACCAGTTGTACCGCCTATCTTTTCCACCGGGATGGAAAGAAAGAGGCAGAGAAGAGCAAACGCCCCAAAGGGTGTCAGCTGGCTCTGCTCCCTGAGGCTTTGGGATCCTGAGCATGCCCGACAGCTCCTGCTGCTTACAGAAGTGACCCTCCACTCGCACTGTGACTCCAGCAGGGCTCTAGGCCACAGTTAAGCCTGAGGGAGTGAATTAAGGGCCTGGGGACAGATAGCTGACAGGAAAAGGTGAGACCTCTTTTGAATCGGGCACCACCAGTTTTAGGCAAATGGGAGAGGGCCTGGGAGGTGGCAGAAAGAATGAGCAGAGCTCTAGGAAACAACACTTACCAGGAGAATTTGGAGCGGTTTGGTTTGTTTTAACTGGAAAAGAGAAAGGCTGAATCATAATGTAGTGCAAATATGTAAAATTAGCAGGAGAGACTGGTAACCTGTTGTTTGTGTCCACTGAGGGTTAAACAAGAAGATAGCAAATTAGCAGCTAGGATTTGGGTTAATTATTAGAAAGAAGTCTTTCCAAACCACTAGGTAAGCAGGTAGAGCAGCCCTCTCCAAAGCTTGTTTAAGCAAGGTTGTGAAATTTCTTTCACAAGGAGCTTTAATAACAGCCTAGACAAATATCCGTCAGGCAGTGGTCTGGGTACATTTGCTCCTGCCGCAGGGAAGCGGGCCAGGGTAGGCCTTTGTGGTCCCTCCCAGCTGTACTTTCCTTTGATGCTTTGGGATGTGTTTCACTGCTGGCTTTGGTTTTCCCAAGAGCCAGAGTTTCTGAATGCTGACAAAAGCAGCTTCTTGGAGGAGGCTGGTGAGAGAAAGCTGAAAAGAAAAAGGGCTTAAATAACAATTTAAAAAATGACTCAGTTAGCTCTCCTCTTCCAAACTAAGGAAGCAAAAAGATATATAACCTCAGCTATAGGACTTCTTAATCATTTTGGTTTGTATTGTACTGTTTGTCTGGGTTTGGTCTACTCAGGACCACAACATGTTTTCTCCTTTATAAATGGGATAGCTGGTCATTGCAGTGCTCTGGATCCCTGCTGGAAATAGTTCCTCATCGTTGTTTATTTTTGTAATGACTGGGTGAAAGTTTGGTTTTTTGGCATATCGCTCATGTATAGGGCCCAGAATCTCCAGTGTAGGATGGGCAGGCTGCAGCCATGGGCATCCTCTGCCAGCAATTTCCTCAGTTACACTGTGCAATCTTGTTTTGCCACTTATAAATCTTCGCCTCTCCCTGAGAACTAATATCCTTCCTTGAGAAATAAGCTCCAGGTAAAGACTAGCAGCAGAATAAATGGCAAGCAGAGCTGAGCCGCCACAGAAGCAGGGAAAGCCACTGAGTGCCAGAAGCCTTTCATTTCAGTAGAGCAAAATATATTGCGTGGGCAGTGTCAAAGTATAAAACACTCTGGATTATAATCTGTTTGAGGTTATATTCCACTCTTTGTGCAGGGAGAATGAACTTGTGTACAGCTGCTTTTACACTGGGGCAGATTCTTAGAGATCAGCAGTGGTAGGGGACAGATATCTTTATGGAAAAGGAGGGTCAGACCTGCCTCTTCCGTGTGTTGGCAAATATCACATGTGCTGCAACATATGAAAAGATAAAGAATAAGGGAGATGATTCTGACTGTATATGTCCATGTCTTTTTTAATAGGAGGTTAAAAGGCAGGATGGCAGCAAACAACTGCTCAAAGGAAAGGTTGCTCCCCAATATTTGGGGGAGAGAGTAAACTCTACAGTGTTCATTGCCTGGAGTTGCCATTCACTTTTGGACAGTGGATTTAGTTCTTTAAAACTTCAGATCCTTTCAAATCTGTTCAAATTCTGAGGAAGTCCCAAATATTTGACAAGAAAGGTATGCAGAATCAGGGCCTGAAGAGAAGCAATTTTGCATATTCTCACAGGGGAACAGAGAAAGCAAGTGAATGATCTTTACTTCAAAAGAAACACTGCTCAAATCCACACAAAGGAAAATCTAAAGAGCTGATTTCAGCAATGATCTTTTCTTTGGAACTCTTTTGTACTTCGAAATAATCACGCCCACATTACTCAAAACCTAATAAATTTTGAGTTTGGTTGATTTCACTGAAATGTTTTGCTTTCCAACTCATGGGTAAAGTGTCTTTTTGATAACATTGAACACCGTGTTTCATTGCAGGGGCACTGATTTTCAGATTAATACCTGAACCCATTAAATTACAAGCCACGATTACATCCAGCTGAAATTCAGGTCCCGACACTCATAATACTATACAAATTAGGAGCATGAAGAATATTATGACCTTGAAGCTATAAAAGACTGCAAATTTGCAGACATACTGTTTAAAATGCCTTGAGCAAACCTAGGCCTAATACTTAGAATTCAATACAGGAAATACTGTATGATGATCATTAGGAATAAAATGAGAATATGAGCAGTAACGGAGCATGTCATAAAGAGTGTAGCTCAATTTAGCCTCAGTTAGGCTAAACAGACCTTACAGGATACAAAAACGTTGGAGGTGCAAGACAAATGTGTAGGCAAAAGCTTACAGGAAACAGTTCCAGTACAACTAGCCAATAAATGTCATCTTTGCCTTACAAAAACTAAAGTAGATCACATGGTCATATCTGAACACCTTATTTAGATTTAGACACTGTGTGTTATCAACTCAGGTAACAAAAGAAGGCTCAGATCCCTGACTGACCCTTTGTTCATGCAGAGGTACCCAACTGCAAAAGTCCAAACCTCTCTTAAAACTTAGTTGCTGAACTTCGACAAGTTAGGAAAGATTTACCCTAATAGGTAATTTGGCAATCAGAAATTCTTCAAAATAATACTTACTTTTGATTTTACATATTTACTTTTCCTCTTTCTTTGACACTTGTTCCATTTTCATTTATATCCACAGTCATCATTTGAATATATTTCCTACCTATCGCAGTAGCACTTGAATTTGACATGTGATCTGACATACCTGTATTGCATTGTTCTGCATTTAGTCACTGAATTTGCATTGTTAAATTGCAATATAAAAATCTTGTTATCAGATACTGTAAAAGCCTTATTTCTTTCGAAGACCTTCCTTGGAAACTGTTGTTCTACCCCAGGTTTAATTTCAAATTTGTTGTTGAGTTTTGCCCATGTAGTGGAAACAGTCTGTGCAGAAAACGCCAAAATGTTGGTGGAAGCCCTGAAGTTTCAAGGCAAAAATCAAAGTATTTTGACTGAAAATTCTGTGCCATTCACCACACGAAGATGTCAAGATAACAGATTGTCTTCTCCAAGACTGACTCACCACAGAGAAGTTCATTCCCAGTTTAGGTACAGTAATCACCATCTGAGGAAAGCACACTGAGTTCAAGTTGATTCCCTGAGCTGTGATTGTACTTCCACCACTAGGAAAAATTGGAGAAAAAAAAAAAAAAGAAAAGAAGATGAGTAGGATTATGATACATCTGCTACAATAATCTTAATTACAAAGTATATTTTAGAGTAAGTGACAACATAAAACCAGAATTAGGGATATATGGGGTGAATGCAAATACATAGCTCTGAGCAGTGAGATTATTTTTCTGGGAAACAAATTTTACACTTGCTATAACAATTAAACAAATACAGGAAAAAAGAATTAATTTAAAAAATATGGTATGCCAGGATATAAAACAAATATGTACATTTTAAAACAGGCTGTATACCTGTACTTAGCATTTGCTAACTCACTCAATTTATTGCTTTCAGTGGTGCTGAAAAAGGTGTCTTTTTTACTGCTGACATTTTTTTGGCAAAGGCAGATGGCTTGGATTAGAGCTACTGAGACCATAAATGTGTCACTTAAAAACACACACATACTACTGTACATATATATTCATAATATTTATGTAGCACTGGATTTAGACTATTTTAAAATCCATTTGCTCTCCTGAGTACTGCTGACTTGTCACATTAAATGATTTTTCTCACTAATCAGTGTAATGTCCAGATGCAGTATAGGAGACACACTTAGCTGTACAGTAGGTATCTCAGCAGGACATCACAGGTACGCTCAGCAGCAGCTAGGAGTTAAATCACATAAAGAAAAGAGGTGCCCTTCCCCCTTCTCTTTCACCTCTGAAAGGAAATATCTGCCCTCTGCAACTGCACCATAATAGAAGCAATTGGCATGGCAGATAGAGATAAAAATGCAATTTCTTTTGATAGATTGCTGCACAGCATAGCCATTCTTCTTTCATTCATTACTTTTCTTATTTCTATAAGAAACTTTTACTTACCTAAGAAAAGATTTGGCTGGATGAATTTTTAAAACAACAGGGTCTTCTCTGTATGTGAAATGACCGCTCGCATCTCGAATAGCTTCGTCAATTCCCACCCTCACACGGTATTCCTGGGGAATTCGTTGTGCTGGAGTGTAGCACTCCGCAGTGCTCACTGATACTCTGGAAGAACAGAAAAATGCTTTCTTGTCAGCGTTATGAAACATGTACTTGGTTTAAAACACTGTCCTCTAGTGAGCCCCAACCCTCCTAAGGATCTGCTTGTAAAAAAAAGTCATTAATTCCCATGCTGGATGACCATATTGGAACAAATAAGCATGGTGTGAGGTAGAAACAGCAACACCACTGCTTAGGCTCAAGATTCATCTTAATTTGATTGACTTGCACCTTGCCTGCTGGAAGGTGTTTCCCCAGTGCTGGCGACAGCCACATCAACCCCTGAACCCTGCCAAGGCATCTTCCAGCCTGGAAAACAACAGCAGGCTCCAGGTTTAAGGAGAATGGCTTGTTCTGCTGTAACCAAGGGATAGCATCTTTCTCTTTCCAATCCACAGGATTTACCCTGTGTTAAAAACCTCAAGAAAAGGTGCTGGTGTCAGAGATGTCCTGCCCTGGGGGCACCTGCTGACTGCAGGCACATCTGAGGGGCAGGCAGAAGGCAAGGAGAAGGGAGGAGAAGGTGAAAATTCAGGAAGAGCTGGCTGAATTCAGCACAGCAGCAGAGTCTCTGGGTTATTCACTTTTCCCTTGCTCTCTCATGCTTGGCCCTGGAAGTCCTCTTCCTACACTGAGCTCAGCAGGTGAGTGGGCAGCAGAGAGGGGGAAGGATCCTGAAGCTTGAAGCACATGAAGTATGGCAGCAGGGACCAGGGCACATCAGAGGCAAGGGTAACAACTGATTGGAGAAGCAAATGTAACTACCAGCTGGTTTCAGTAATTTGGGCCCAACCACATCCAGGAGCCCTCCAGGTGAGGCCATTCTCAAAGGCTGTGAGAGATTGTCTCCAAATTAGACAAAAGGGGCATTTGCTGCCAATTCTGAAGCTTTCCAGGAAGGTGGTGTTCACTGTGTGCTGTAGGGGTTAGTGATTTGTTCCTATGTATCTGGAAACTTTTAACCATCTTTTAAAAGAAAAAATAAACCCTTGATCTAGCTGCCCTCAGAACTGGGCAAAGCTGCCAGTTTAGGCAGAGAAATTCCTGCCCTGAGAAACTGGTTAAGACCTGTGTAGAAGTCTCCAGATGACTTGGCTGGTGAGAAAGAGGGGTGCTGGGGCTGCTTACTGGATAAGCCCCAACTACAGGTCGATAACACAAGGTCCACCTGACCAAAGCAGATGTCTGCCTCTGAGCTGACTGTCATCTTACCCCCACAGTAGGTGTCTCAAATGGATCAGATGAATCATTCCCAAAAGGTTTATAAATTTGTCCATTAGTTGACCAGCTGAGATGATGACATCAGTAAATCCCACCCTAAACTATTAAGTAGCCACTGAACAGAAGTGCTGAAGATCTTGGTAGTGATTAAATATCAGACCTGAATACCTAAATCCCTTTCTTGATTTAGTCAGACTTAGCTGATTTGATCAAAAGCATACAATACATCATTTAGCAGCAAAGAATAAAATTTAGCTGTCCTGACTCTGAGTCTGACATTAACTAATAGGCTACCGCTTCCCCACGTTCTCTGCAAGTGTGATGTTTCACCACTACGACTTTCCATAATCATTAGGAGAGATTCAAAATTCAGAGGAATTGTGGGACATCCTGTTCCTGGAACACAGTGGGGCCAGATTCTGCCCTTGGCCGCAGAGATGACAATTCTGGAGCCACCCTGCTGTATCTGAAAACAGGACCAAGCAGGATTTGCGCCATGGTATAATGGCTACAAATTCAGAATGCTTGTCTGCCCATGGCAGAGAATCCATGCTTGGTATTTAACATTTATATTAAGCTGGGATTCAAGGCATTTCCACACAGAGTGTGTCAAAGATTCTGGACCGAGGTCCTACTGGATCCAGTACAGAGCCACAAGAAATTCTGTCTCAATCCACAAAACATTTTTATATATACCAGGAAAAGTCCCAAACTGATGCTGCCTCTGGTTTGGAGGCTGTTCACTGATAGTAGTGCAGAAATAGCTGCTCTTCTGCATGGGATACACATTCCCACACTGGTCAGGTTTCCACCAAACGAACCAGTAGGAAATGGTAACCCACACCCACTGGACACTCACTGGGAGCTGCTGGATGAACAGCAGCTCTTGATAATACAAGAGAGAGAGGGCTGAATGTGTGGGAGTCGGGGTGACAGAAATGATGGGAAATGGGCAGTTTCTAGTCCATTAGGTGCTGATTTGCTACTTCTCTATGCAACCTTTTAGTGAGGTTAATGAAGGCATTACAGAATAAACAAGTCTTCTCAGGAACTGTAGTCCCTTCTAGGAAACTTTCAGACATCCTAAATTGAGGATGTAATCCAGAACTGCACGCTTATTGCAGTATCAATTCTCCAATATGTAACATGAGGAGAGGAAAGCAATGCACGCGTGCGTTTTTTTTACCCCAAGACATTTTAATCAAGCCTTTTCAATATTAAAGGCATCACTTTTTAGTAAGTACATTACCTTTTCAAGGTGCATGGTTTCTCACCAACAAAAATACTTCTGGATTTTCCACTGTTTAGGTATTTTCCAGCTACAGTTAGCAATGTTCCTCCAGATTTGGGGCCATAGGTGGGAGAGATACTTGTTATTACAGGATTCTGAGGTGGGGTAAGAATAAGAACAGTGGATTGTTAAATTATTTTCAAAATGTGAAGAGGAAAATCTTAAAACATTTATTACCATTTCCATGATGTAATAATAAAGCAAAGAGTAATATAGAATTACCATACTGGATTGGACTCATGAGGAGTCTCCTTCCAGTTAATATTGAAGTTAATTTTGACAATAAAGTTTTAATCATAGTGCTTACCACGTACGAAAATGTATTGAATAGTGTTTTGCCATGCCCAACAGAAACACTACTGGATATATTAAAACTTGGATTTTTTGCAGCAGGAACTGTGCATTCCAGCCTTTGGAAAACAAGGAAAAAGATGGGATTACATTTTTTTTCTGGCTTGATTTTTTATATTAAAATAGAACGACTTCAAACTCATAATAATGGAGGATCCATACTAAACAAATCATCAATCTATGCGTGTCAGGGACATTTCAGAAATAACAGCTAGAAGAACTGTGGTCATCTTCTTTAACACTAAATACAAACACTGTGGTGTTTATACTTGGCCAGAGAAAATAATTTTAGTATATCAAATACATTTCAGAAAAAAAGGAGTATGCTAGAGAAAACAAATACCTCCCATTCAATGGCTGAGTTGTTTTTTGGAATTTTCATTTAGTGCCAAATTTTGGCAGACAACAGGATTAGAAAAAAATGCATCATATACACAAATTTGTTGTATAAATTTAAATATTACCAAAAATTAAATTTGAACTTTTGTGCCAGCATGTGTCAACGTATTACATTACATTTACACAGTCTCATATATGAGCTAGTCTCCTTAAATCATTTTGTTTGCATTAGGACTGTTCAGAATAGCAGTTAGGAGAGTGCTCAATACTTCTGGAGGGTGACCTTTTTGCTGCTATATATATGAATAGGGAAGCCATGCCATGATTTGCACATTGCTTTGGTAGTAGATAGTCATATGCATTGAACTGAGAGAGGATATTCATTGAACTTCTTATTTCTTCAAGATGACAACCAGAATAACCTCTGCCTTAAAGTTAAGCCATTATCCCACTGTCTCAAATACTTATTTCTGAGGAGGAGGAGGAGGAGAGGTGCAGCTGAGGGTCATAATCCTCTGGATGACAAAATACCTGCATCTTCTCGCACTTCTCTCCAGCAGCTTCACAGATCAGGAAGATGGAGGTGACATAACTGAGCCTGGCAGGATCCTGGTGAAAGGAACCTGTCCCCTTTTCAAACCTTTGAATAGTTTCGATCTTGCCAGCTCCCACAGATGTTGAACAGCATTTCTCAGACAAACCAGAAAAAGCTGCTGCAGGAGCTATCAGCATTAACTAGATTTATTTGATCTCCTTTTCAAGCACTTTTTTCTTGGGGAGCTTATCAAACCAAGGGATTGTTTCCTATTTGAAATTTCAGAATTGGAGATGACACTTATAGAGTGAATGTTTATACCGTAAAAAAATCCATACCACATAAAGAACATCTGTATAAAAGGAAATTCTTATTTTAGGTTTCTTACTTGTTTTTGTTGCTAGATTTTGCTTCCAGAGCACAAATTTGTCCTCCGATATGGATTACTGTATTTTTTAATTCAAATCTACTATTTTTGCTGAATCCAAAGTCCCATCCACACAGTGTCAGTTTTGTCCCGCCCTCTAAGGGAGCACTGCTCGGGAGAATCTGTTAAAAAAATACTGTGTTAGTTACATCAGGTTTCTTGAACTTCAAATGGAGTTAAAGAATGTGCAAAGGAATAATTTTAGAAAAGCATTTCTTCTGGTAGACTATGTTCTACCATTCATCCTAATTGTTCTTCACCTTCCATTTGTCACATTATGAGCTTTCTCTGACAGTAGCAATAAATAACAAAACCTATACTAGAAAGCTTTGAGGGATAGTGTTTAGGGGCACTGAACAAGCTGTGCATTGTAACAGTCTTTTAAATCCTGCCGTTCTTGTCTTTCACATCTTATTTCTGGCATGTTAAACATACAATGTACTTATTTTGTTAGAAGCTGAATGCTGAACACAAAAGAGCCCCCAAATGACCATTTTTTGTCAGCTTGATGAAAGTCAGGTTCAGAGTGAAGTAGCTTCAAAGACACCATAATCTGATATTGCATTGGCTGTGATAAAGTTAACGTGACTTCTGCTATTCTTTCCTTAAATCTTTTACATTTGGTCACCTCTAATTCCGAGTTAAAAATAAACTACCCCTCAGAAACACAGAGACAATCTACAAAGGAAATGCTTTTTTTTCTGTATATTGTAAATTGTCCTGTAAAATATAACAATGGTGGGAAAAATGTAGGAACACTATAGAAGTCTTACAAAACTCAGTAAAAGTACTGGTCAGTACTGCCTGTAAAAAAAAAAAAAAAAAAAAAGACATTGGTTCAGGGTTTATGGGGACTTTTAACAATACTGCATAATTTTGCAGACTTACCAGTACCACTGGACAAACAACAAAGAATGAAAGACTAAATTTATGCTTGCGGTCATAATGCCTAAATGTCTTAGACTTAATGCTTTAGTGATAGTAATTTTGCCCCTAAAATGCAACACAGCTGTGCCTTTCAAAGGACCCGACTTAATTTTCAAGCTGAAAGGAAAGTGTTTGAGAGATGCTTGGCTATTATTTCATCTGGAAATCCAGTAAGACAGCGCATTTCTTTTCAACTCTCTTGTAGCTATACTTCAAGACTCTCACAAATGAACTATTGTAGATAGAAAGGCAGCTGAAGAATACTTCAAAAGAATTATACCATATATTCTATATGGGTAAATTTACTGCCCCCATTAGAAACCAGACAAAGAGTCTGATCTAAAATGCACTGAAGCCAGTAGGAATCTTTCCTATTTTAATGAGCTTTGAATCAGCTCTCAATGAGCAAAGAAGAGGGAACCTATGCAGGAACAGTACCTTCGCACAAATCCCATAAAAAAGGAGTGATGCTTGCACAGCCCTGACACACAACACTGCAGCTAAGAGCGTGGAACAGTACTGTACCCTGTGGAGTCTGTGTTATTCCCAAGTTTAACTTTCCCTTATTTCTTTGGCTTTTGTCTTCGAAATCTGGATTGACTTCAGATCCTAGTGTTCCACTCTACTTAATATCTCAGCACACTATCTATTTTTGAAGTAACAAAACCCTAGCAGAAACTGAAACTGCTCTGTGGGGGTACAGGATGTCTCGATGTTTTGTACAATAATGCATTGACATGTGGCATTTGAAGAGTTTGAAATGTGATCCATAAGTGAGCAAAATAAGGGCGTTAAAATCAGGCTTGACAAAGCCATACAGAATAAAAAATGAAGGCACTTAACTGGTTTTGAGCGATCTTATCTGCCAAAAGAGACTTGTGATGGCAGCCCATGTGCCTTAATTGAGGGAGAGTAAAAGTATTTACTACATTCTGCCAGCAAATTTAGGAGGCAAGACCTCTAAGTAGATAGCAAAAAATAAACCATATCTTAAACGTTTGTATTTAAGGTCTGCAGAAATTCCCCCAGAGTGGTTTTTTTCGTGTCTTTATTTTTGTTCCAGTTGTTCTGTATGATGAAACCTCTGAAAGTCAATTGGTTTCCCAGACTTGTTCTTGAGAGTCGACAGGAATGAATAGTGAACCTCCTGGACTTTGAACTGAGGTATACGTCGGCATCTTCTGTGTGCTTATATCGCACAGGTAGTAACAGAAAGTAAGCAAAACCTAAATCAGTCATAAATGCTATGAAATTCAGGATTCAAAAGTTCTCTATGGAAAGGAAACTCCACTGATAACATGGAGCTAGTCCTGCTGCAAGGCCTGCCATTCTGCTTGTCCCTGCTGCTCTCTGGACTTTGGGTTAAGGGAGAGAAAATTAACTTCTCTTTTTCTTTTTGGAAAAATTCAAAGCATTGTGTTTTCCTTTTGTTTATGTTGACAGCCATTATGCTAATATCCACTCACATATTTTATAAATCGTTGGAAGAAAGTATCTATTTATTAAAGTTTCAACAGCCCATTCATTTTAATTAAGAGGCAAGAACATGTACAGACCACATGTGAAATTTCCAGCAAAACCTCCAACCTAAACAGGCAGCAGAAGGCCTGATGTTCTTGATGCATCTGAGACAAAAGCCAGCTAAAATGACTCACTTTAAAAACAACAACAAACCATGTCAGGTTTTTAACCACAACAAAGAACCAAAAGGGAGACCAATTTATTTCTTCTTTTACGCCGTTCACCTTTCAGCATGACCTGAATGCCGCACGCAGATGCCTGCAATTTGTTCCAGCACCAAGTCATCTCCCAGGAGACTCCCTCGAGTCCCCCAGCTTTCCTCTAGCACTGCTTGTCCGGGCTGACAAAATACGCCTCGTTGTTGGCAGAGGCGGCGGATGGGAGCGGGGTACGGTGCTGATGTGTGGGACCGGAGCTGGGCTGTGGTGGGGACGTGTCCTGGTACCAGCCCTGCTGTGCTGTCTGTAGCAGGGGGATGCTCGGGCAGAGCTGGAGCCCTGTGCTCCCCACAGGGCTGGGGTGCGGGGCTGCTCCCCGGTACCCACAGCTCCAAGGAAAAGTGCTTAAAGCAGGGCGGCGAGACAAAGGATCTGCAGGATGCCATGGCAAAACGCTGGGTTTCTTCTCTGCCATCCCTCCTGAGAGGAAAATCTCGGGTGGTTTTTTTTTCCCATCGTGCACTACTCTGTATAATAACCTGGGAAAACTCTGCTGAAGGCTTAGCTAGCTAACATCCCCTGGACCAGATCCTCAGAGAAGCTCTCTGTTCCCCTCAGGTTAAAGTGATCGTATGGCATATCTCAAGCAATCTGTCCCTCCGAAACTGCAAAGTATTAGGGGGAGGTTCGGGCTGAATTTCAGATGCTGTGCAAAGCAGGTCATCCTCTGTTTGCTAGGAACAAAACAAGCTTGTTTCTCCTATTTTATGCATATGGGTTTAAAGACAGATCAGAAGATGATGAATAATCTGTTTTATATTTTTTTCAGTAATCATGTTAAATGTCATGGTCCAGTAGAGCATGAAATCTGTCTTAACAGCTAGCAATCCAAAGGGATTTAAGTACTCAGCTGCATTTTTTTCCTTACAAGCCTTCTAGAAGCAACTCCTACCAATGCGGGCATGCTGTAATTCGAGATTCACTTTAAGATCCATCAGTGCCACAGATCCATATTCATTACAGAGGTAGACTGGGCTTGTGCTGAGCAGGCAGGGCTGAGCGACATGGGGAAGGGGAGCACCCGGCCAGCCCCACGCATCCTCCCACTGCCCCACGTTCAAGGCGCGCTCCCCTGGATGAGTCCTCCCACCCACTTCAGAGGGACTGAAGGTGGCCTTGGGGATGCACCTCTCGGCCTAAGCATCTCTGCATGGGCTCCCGGCGCTTGGTTCTTAAACTGCTGAGTGCACACACTCATAATTGAAATTAAACAGGGCTATATGACCTCAGCACCTCCAAAAATCAGAAACCAAGCAGTTCAGAGCCTTAGAAATCTTTTTGGAGGCATGGCAATATACAGCCACTGCTGGAGAGTTTTGCCAAGAAAAAAACATTAAGGGATGCTACTTGTGCTTGAGGTCTAGGAAGGAAAACAAGCTCTGCAGGACAGGTGAGTAGCTTGAGCCTCCAGAGGTATATAAAAAAGTAGCAGGACTAATTCTTAGTGCATCCCTTTGAATTGGTGATTCATAGTCTCATACGAACCAAGGCCCGAAAGGACTATTTGATCATCTAATACAGCCTTTTTGAAATAAACGTGTTCTTGTATAAAGCAGAAGTAAACTATTCGCATTCTGCATTAGCAATTTTTTTACATCTCCTTTGCCCAAAGGTAAATGGCAATAGAAGGCAAGGCAAACACCCCCCCCCCCCCCCCCCCCCCCCCCCCCCCATCCCCTCT